AGTTTGCTAGGGAGAAAAGAGGAAGGAGGACTATCTGACTGGGAGGATCATGAATAGACAGGAAGTGCCCTGGGATGGGAGGAACACAGGTAGCTAGAACGCAAGAGGCACTGGAGAGACAAGGTGCTGATAAATCTACGTATACTAGTCCCAGGGATTGAACTCTGGGTCTGGGTGCTGTCCTTTAGCTTTTTTGCTCAGGGTTGGCATTCTGCCACTTGAACCACATCTTCACTTTCAGATCTTTTGCTAGTTACTTGGAGGTAAGGAATGGGCTGGGAAGGTGGCTCAGTGATAGAGTGCTTGTTTGCTTAGCATGCATGAAGCCCTGGGTTTAATTCCTCAGCACTACATAAACAGAAAAAGCTGGAAGTGGCACCGTGGCTCAGATGGTAAGTGCTAGCCTTGAGCTGAAGAGCTCAGACCACCTCCCAGGCCTTGATTTCAAGCCTCATGGCTGGCAAAAAAAAAAAAAAAAGAGTCTTAGAAACTTTTCTGCCTGGGCTGGCTTTCAACCACAATCCTCAGATCTCAGCCTCCTGAGTAGCTGGATTACAGGTGTGAGCCACTGGTGCTGGGCTAGGGGCTGATATATCTTTATTTATTTATTTTTGGGTCCGGTTGTGGGGCCTGAACTCTGGACCTGGGTGCTCTTCAGCTCAAGGCTAGCACTCTACCACTTGAGCCACAGCGCCACTTCCAGCTTTTTTCTTTTTGCTTATGTGGTGCTGAGGAATCGAACCCAGGGCCTCATGCATGCAAGGCAAGCGCTCTACTGCTGAGCCACCTTCCCAGCCCCCCCCCTTTTTTTTTAATTGGCCATGGAGCTTGAACTCAGGGACTTGGTGCTGTCCCTGAGCTCTTTTGCTCAAAGCTAGTGTTCTACCACTTTGAGCCAGAGCTCCACTTCTGGTTTTCTGGGGGTTCATTGGAGATAAGAGTCTCATAGACTTTCCTGCTGGCTTTGAACCAGGATCCTCAGATCTCAACCTCCCCAGTAGCTAGGATTACAGGCGTATGCCACTGGCACCCAGCTTGATATATCTTTAGAAATGCTCACCTCTATCAACCTTCACTTTGAGGTTCTGTTGCGCTGGGGAGGTGGGGGGGGAATGGCAGGGAGTTGGGTGGCCTATGTGTTTTTCTGCACGTATGTGTCATGTGTCTACGCTCCTGGCCTGCACCCAGCTGAGGCCGTGGCAGGCAGCCCTTCTGTGTTCGGTTTGTTTTGGCAGCTCCAATTCTAGCTTATTTGTTGTTTCTACTCCATGTCTACTTGCTGCTAGCCAGCAGGATTTCCCTCAGTGGTAACTGTGCAAAAATGGCTCTTATATGTTGCTACTGAAGCGTCTGGGGGTGCATCATTAGTGAGAGCGGGCAAAGTGGGGTATGAGCCAGACTTCTGCCTCTTGGGGTCCAGGTGGGAGGATCAGGCCAGGGAACCCTGTGTCCTAGTCTCCTTGGTAGGAACCTTAGCAAAGAGCCCAGCTCCAATGTCCTCACAGCCTAGCTAAATACAGAAGGGATAGAGGCAGAAGCTGTGTCCAGCAGGCATCAGTGGCTCATGCCTGTAATCCCAGCTACTCAGGAGGCTAAGACCTGAGGATAGGGGAGTGGGAATGTGGCTTAGTAGTAGAGTGCTTGCCTAACACGCTTAAGCCTCTAGGTTCAATTCCTCAGTACCACATATACAGAAAAAGCCAGAAGTGGTGATGTGGTTCAAGTGGTAGAGTACTAACCTTGAGCAAAAGAAACTTAGGGACAGTGCTCAGGCTCTGAGTTCAAGCCCCAGAACTGAAAAAAAAAAAAAAAAAAACTGAGGATGGTGATTCAAAGCCAGCCTGGGCAGGAAAGTCTGTGAGACTCTTATCTAAAATGAACCAGCAAAAAGCCAAAGTGGAGACATGGTTCAACTAGTAGAGTTGCAGCTGTGAGTGAAATTGTCAAGAGACAGTGCAAGGCTCTGAGTTCTAGCCTTGAGATCACCACAGAAAAAGAAGAGGAGGAGGATGAAAGAAAGAAAACCTATATCCAAACGCAGTACCCCCTCATGAGGTGCAAAGCCCCTCATGAGTGGGAAATTCCCTCCTATTTTAGAAACAAAATCACTAGTGCCAGATTTACATCCAGCTGTTCCTCTTGTAGAAGTGTATAGACCTAGCTTGGCCATCATAGCTTGGCTTTTCTAACATTTACTAGTGTTAGGCGCCAGTCTTGCCAGAACAATTATAAACTCTTATAAACTTATAAAGTCTAACAGAAAGCACGACTGATAGTTGATTTTTTTTAATGAGACAATGTCTTGTTATGAATGTAACCCAGGCTGGCCACAAATTTTCCTCCTGTCTTCTTCACTTCCTGAGTCTGGGATTACAGGCATGCACCACCATACCAGACAAGACAGATAGATAGATAGTGTGTGTGTGTGTGTGTGTGTGTGTGTGTGTGTGAGTGTGTGTGTGTATGTGTGCTGGGGCTTAAACTCAAGGCCTGGGAGTTGTCCCTAGTTCAAGGCTAGTGCTCTACCACTTGAACGACAATGCCACTTCCAGCTTTTTCTGAGATTTCTCCAATTCTGAGGTAAGAGTCTCATGGAGGGGGAGGGCAGGGATAGTAGGAGAAAAACAAAGGAGGGGGTAACAATGCTCGACAAGAAATGTACTCATTACCTTACTCATGTAACTGTAACCCCTCTACATAGGATCTTTACAATGAAATAAAATTAAGAAAGAAAGAAAGAAAGAACGTCTCATGGACTTTTCTGCCTGGGCTGGCTTTGAATCGTGATCCTCAGATCTCAGCCCCCTGAGTAGCTGGGATTCCAGGCATGAGTCACCCACACCCGGCTCATGTGCTTTATTCTACAGGTGGGTGTTCATGGGCCTCATTACTGGGTTTATGCATATCATGGCCTCTGAGCTTCCCACACAGCTGCCTGGATCCTGCCAGCTGTGGAGGGGAAGACATCATTGAGGATGCAAAGGGAATAAAGGACAGAAGTGCATTTGAATAGGACAGCCATCTCTGGCACAGCGTTTTACCTTGCATTCACCGGCACAAACACAGATGGCTTTCAGAACTATTTGTCTTCATCTGAGATCACGTGGGAACTCATCCATTTTTGCCTTCTTCCACCCCAGGTAGCACCAGGTAAGGCAGTGACCCTACGGGGGTGCCAGAATCTCCTGTGACATGCCAAAGAAAAAAGAGGTGCTTTTCAAAATGTTTTGTTTTTTTGAGACAGGGTCTCACTATGCAGCCCAGTCTGGGTTAGAACTCTTCTTGATCCTCTTACTTCAACCTCCCATGTGCTGGGATTACAGGTATACACCACCAAAAACCCATTCTGCTATTTTTTAAAAAATTTTTTATTGTGAGTCATGGGGCTTGAGCTCTGGGTCTGGGCACTGTCCTAGAGCTCTTCAGCTCAAGGCAAGCACTTTACCACTTGAGCCACAACGCTACTTCTGGTTTTCTGGTGGTTAATTGGAGTCTCATAGACGTTCCTGCCCAGGCTGGCTTTGAACCGCAATCCTCAGATCTCAGCCTCCTGAGTAGCTAGGATGACAGGTGTGAGCCACCGGCTCCCAGCTGCCCCGCTATTTTTATTTTTGTTAGTCATGAGGCTTCAGCTCAGTGCCTGGGCATTGTCCCTGAGCTTTTTTGCTTAAGGCTAGGACTCTATCACTTTGAGTCACAGTGCCACTTCTGGTTTTCAGGTAGTTCATTGAAGATAAGAGTCTCTCACAGGCTTTCCTGCCTGGGCTGGCTTTGAACAGTGATCCTGATTTCAGTCTTCTGAGTAGGTAGGATTACAGCATGAGCCACCAGGGCCTGGCTCACTTCACTATTTTGATGACCTTTTTCAGTGCGTTGCATGCTCATGACAACTATATTACCAGAGATAAGGGACCATAAATCTGTCCCTAGCTCCCAAAAGGGAAGAGCAGCGAATGCTGAAGGAAGAGTCGAAGAATACGAAGGAAATACAAATGGGAAAGAAGTATAGTATTCATAGTGTTTACTAGCCAGAGTCAGGTGCTGGTGGCTCACACCTGCAATTCCATCTACTCAGGAGGCTGAGATCTGAGGACTGTAGTTCAATGCTATCCTGGACACAAAAATCCATGAGACTCGCTGGGAAGGGCTCAGTGGTAGAGCGCTTGCCTTGCATGCCTGAGGCCCTGGGTTCGATTCCTCAGCACCACATAAGCAAAAAGAAAAAAGCCAGAAGTGGCACTATGGCTCAAGTGGTAGAGCACTAGCCTTGAGCTGAAGAGTTGGGGGACAGCACCCAGGCCCAGAGTTCAAGCCCCATGAACGGACCCCCCCCAAAAAAATCCATGTGACTCTTATCTCCAATGAAAGAGCAAAATGTCAGGCTGGAGGTGTGGCTCAGATGGTCACATGCCAGCTGTAAGCAATCTGGCACACACAAACAATTAAGTGTTTACAGGTAGCATTGGAAAGAAATTTCCATCTTTTTTTGGGGGGAGGAGTTGCTTAGGGCCTCATACTCTTGCTTGACTTTTTCACTCAAAGCTGATACTTTATCACTTGAGTCACAGCTCCACTTATGGCTTTTTGCTTGTTAATTGGAAATAAGAGTCTCATTGACTTTCCTGCCCTGGCTGGCTTCAAACCTTGATCCTCTGATCTCAGCCTCCTGAGTAGCTGGGATGACAGGTGTGAGCCACGGGCACTTGGCCCTCCTCTAGCATTCTTGCTTCATTCCCAGTTCCCCATCCCACCCCCCACCCCACTCCCACCCAGCCTCCCCATCCACCTCCCTCCCCAGCACAGATCTTCTGGGCTGAACTCCCCATCTGAGAAGCCACTTTCAGAAAGGAGACAAGTTCTGGCTGGGGGACTCCAGAAAGACTTCATGGGTTGGGGGAGATAGGGAGGGTGAGCCAGCTGGAAGAGCATCTAACTGAGGATGGGTGGAGGGAGGATCAGGCAGGAGTAAGCTGGGAGAATGGCCATCCTGGAGGGGGCACATGGAAGGTCTCAGTTCTGAAGCCAGCTTCTCCCAGGGGGAGAAGCTTCTGACAGGGGACGTATCTGAAGGGCTGCGTTGCACAATGACTGCAAGTGTCCGGGATGGGGTCAGCACCATGCCAGAGGCAGGTGAGGGGAGACACTGGCGATCCCCAGGGAGCCCCAGAGTCTCCTCTCCCTCCCACCAATGCCAGATGAATGGAGCTTGTTGGGCAGAACTCCGAGCATGTGAGTTTCAATCAGGCTGCACCCCACGACTGCAGCATTAGAACTGTAGGGTGGCCCAGGAGCCTCCATCCCACCCCACCCAAGCTGTAATCTAAAGACCCCAGGGGATTGGCTTCCCCATCCAGGAGACTCCAGTACTCAGACTGGGAATCCTGGCCATCTCTCTTTCCCCTCTGCTGGGCAGGGGACTGAGGTTCTCCAACAGCCTCAGAGAGGTGGGGGAGGGTGGACCCACTGCTCAAAAGGCTCCTCCCCCAACTCAATCTGTGTCCTCCCCGACCCTATCTGCCCCTGTCCCCTCCACTCCCCCCCTACTAGGTCAAAACAGTGACGCAGGAGTCAGGGGCCCTCGACAGTACAGCCAGGGGAGTGGTCAGTTCAGCACGCACGTGCAGAAAAGCGTGGACTGTGGACGTGTGGACATGTGTGTGTCCCACAGCCGGCCCCTGAGAAGAGAGCAGAGCCTGGCCCTGGATGCTCTGGATGCCGAGTCAGGGGAACAGGCTCAAGGAAGGCCTGGCCCAAGCAGGGTCAGGGGGAAGCGAAAAACCAGGGAGTGAGGTCAGAGGGTCAGGCCTGGATTGCTTCCAGATTCTGTCCCCCACCTCTGGTGCACTCTTTCCGCTCTCCACACTCTTCCTGGCTCATCTGTCCTCCCTCCACCCCTTACAGCTCTCTCTTCAGCACCTGGAATGGTCAGGACAGCCTCCTGGGCCTTCTTTCCTTGTTAGTTCTATTGTCTTATTCTGTTTTGGTTCTATGCTGATCCTGGAGCTTGAACTCAGAGTTTGGGCCCTGTGTCTGAGCTTTTGTGCTATGGCTAGTGCTCTACTACTTGAGCCACAGCTTTACTTCAGGGTTTTTTTTTTGTTTTTTTTTTTGGTATTTAACTGGAGATAAAGAGTCTCATGGATTTTCCGATCTGAGCTGGCTTTGAACCATCATCCTCAGATCTCAGTCTTCAGAGTAGCTGAACTACAGGCATGAGCCACCAGCGCCTGGTTCCTTAGTCCTTTTGTTGTTGGTGGTGGTCGTCATGGGGCTTGAACTCTGGGCCTGGGAGCTGTCCCTGAGCTCTTCAGCACAAGGCAAGCGCTCGACCACTTGAGCTACAACGCCACTTCTGGTTTTCTTGTGTTAATTGGAGATAAGAGTCTCACAGACTTTCTTGCCCCGTCTGGCTTTGAACCTCAATCCTCAGATCGCAGCCTCCTGAGTAGCTAGGATTACAGGTGTGAGCCACCCAGCTTCCTTAGTTCTTTTATATTTATTTTGTATCAGTCATGAGGCACAGACTCAGGGCCTGCGCACTGTCCCTGAGCTCGTTTGTTCAAGACTACTGCTCTACCACTGAAGAGCTACAGCTCCACTTCCAGTTTTCTGGTGGTTCATTAGAGATAAGAGTCTCATGGACTTTCCTGCTCAGGCTGGCTTTGAACCATGATCCTCAGATCTCAACCTCCTGAGTAGCTAGGATGACAGGCACCAGTCCTCAGCTGCTGTTTAGTTCTTAATGTCATTTGAGACCTGCCACCTGCTTTCCATTCCTTGGTTTCTGCAGTGTTGGGAATTGAATCCAGGGCCTCACACATGCTACAGTGTTCCACCACTGAGTCACACTCCCCAGCCCTTTCATTGGTGTGTTCATTGTCTGTCTTCCTGTTAGAATTCAGGGCAACCAGGGTCAGCATCTTTCTTTGTGTCATTCACATCGTGATTCTTAGGTCCCTGGCCAAATATGTACTCCTTCCCCCTCCCACTCCCTTTCCCTCTCTTAATCTCTCCCTCTCTGCCCCTGTCCATAGGGTCTCACCATGCAGCCAAGCTAGGACTTGAATTTATCATACAGCTGACCTCAAAGTTGTGATCCTCCGGCCCTCTGCATCCAGAGCACTGGGATTACAGGCAGGTACCACCAAGCCTGACTTTCCATGAACATTTTTTAAATGAATGAAGAAAAAAATGAACAAGTGAATTTTTATCCAAAGTCTTCAAAGTGGTATTCAAGAACTTTCACAACCTGATTCTGCCCCCCCCCCCGCCCCAGAGCATTCTGGCCTAACCTTTCCACTCCCTTCTCCCCTGCCCCTCAAATCAACCAGTGTTCCTCCCCCACCCCTCATTTCTCTTCCCAGGGAGGCCCACCTACTCTTCAAGACTGAGCTCAAGGTCACCTCTGCTATTCAATCTGCTCACCCCCCCCTCCAATGGACTTGAGTTTTCAGCATAGATATGCATGCTTCAGGGTGTGTGTGGTGTGTGTGTGTGTGTGTGTGTAAGAGAGAGAGAGAGAGAGAGAGAGTCCTGGGACTTGAACTCAGGGCTGGGGCACTGTTCCCAAACTTTTTGGCTCAAGGCCAAGTGTTTTACCACTGAGCCACAGCTCCACTTCTGGCTTTTTGGTGATTAATTGGAGATAAGAGTCACCTTGACATTTCTGTCCAGGTTGGCTTCAAACTGTGATCCTCACATCTCAGAGTCCTGATTAGCTGGGATGACAGGCGTGAGCCACCAACCATCATACTTTGCTATCCTTCAGTCTTTCCATGGGGCCCCATGTACCCAGCACTTGCTCCACACAACTGTTGGAAGAGCAGGGGCCAGAAGTCAATATCTTTTTTGTTGTTGTTGTTGGTTGTGGGGCTTGAACTCTGGGCCTGGGCACTGTCCCTCAGCTTTTTAGCTCAAGGCGAGCACTCTACTGCTTGAGCCACAGCACCACTTCTCATTTTCTGGTGGTTTATTGGAGATAAGAGTCTCTCAGACTTTCCTGCTCGGGCTGGCTTTGAACCACGATCCTCAGATCTCAGCCTCCTGAGTAGCTAGGATTACAGGCCTGAGCCACCGGTGCTCAGTGTCAATATCTTTTTGTCCTGTGGTTTACAGAGTTACCTGTCACCTCAGTTGTCTCCAGCAGGTGCTGGAGGGGTGGAGCTCCGTGTAAAGCACTTTCCCTGCTTGCATGAGGCCCTGGCTTCCACCTCCAGCACTACAAAAAATTAATAACAGCACAAAATTAATTACAGCACAAAATTTAATAACAAAACAGCACAAAAATTAATAACAACCACAAAGCCCCACAAAAATCCACAAAGTGAGCACTTAACGCAGGCTTAAGATATCTTTAATATCCAGCCAAGCACTGATGTCTCCTCACTAGCTACTCAGGAGGCTGAGATCTGAGGATCTTAGTTCAAAGCCAGCTAGGACAGGAAAGTCACTGTGCAACTCTTACCTGCAATTGAACAGCAAAAAGGTGGATGTGGAGCTGTGCTTTAAATGGTAGAGTGCCAGCCTTGATTGAAAAAGCCAAAGGATAGCACCAGGCCCTGAGTTCAAGACCCAGGACTGGCACAAATTAGAACAACAAAAATGCCTCTGATGTCAAAGTTCATGCATCTCCTCAATGGGGGACCCAGTACCCAGCATTCTGGAAGTCACCTTTCTACCTTTTCAGGTTCCTAGAAAGTAAGGTAAAGGGGTTTAGGCTGCCACCATCCAGTTTTCTAACAGGGATACCACTGGCTTTGACCACAAGTTCTGGGATTGCAGGAGGAAACTTACCCAGATGTTTCCAGACTCTAGACCCCAAGAAAGCCATGGCTCACAGCTCTGTCCAAGACTGGGCCACCTTCCCCCAGCCCCCAGGGAATGAGGTATGTATGGGGAGGGGGTGCAGTCTGCCCCTAGCATTCTACCCCATCTAGTTTTGTGCACACCTCAGTTTCACACTGGAATCCACACACTTTGCGGGTGGGGGGCTCCCCCCACCCCAACCCCGCAGCCTCTAGCAGCCATGATCCCGCCCTAGAGAGCTCCAGGCCTCCTGCCCCCTGCTCTGACCCCGGGTGGCTCCCACCCCCCTGGCGACCCCTCACGCACACAGCCTCACCCCCACCCCCACCCGCGCACGCACACAGACTGATAACAGCCCCGACCCCCGGCGGGAGCCACAGTGTCCCCAGCCCAACCCCGGGGACAACTCATTACATCCCGCTGTCCTCCCGGACCCTGGCCAGGGCCACCGAGAGCTCTGACGCTCCTCCAAGCCCCGGCTCAGCCACCCCCCACTCCTGGACAGTGATCCCCCTCTTCTGAGTCCTTGGAGTGATCCTATCCCCACCATACTTCCAAGGATGAGGGCTCCTGGAGGAGCCCCTAGCCGCTGAGGGTCCCCGGCTGCTGCCAGGCTCAGAGATGGGGGTCTGTGGTGAGTAAATCTTGTTTGAAGAAGGATTTAGCTCTGGGGACAATTAGCCAGGAGGTGGCTGGGTTCAAGGACCTGCGACTGGCCAAGGATCAGGGAAGGGAGAGGGGGGTGGGGCAGCGTCCACGTGCCAAGCAGACTTTGGGGACCCTTCTTCTTCCTTTGAATGGTAAGCCAAGGCCAATGTTCGGGGGGATGGGTGGGAGGGAGAGGTGCTGCGTGGCGAGGTGGAGAGAAAGTTGCTAAGAGAAAAACTTACCTGATGCCACACAAGGGGGAAAATCTCTGCTGCACAGGGATTGAAGTTTGGCCGGAGGAGTGGATGCCGGCCACTGGGGGGTGGGGTGTGCACGCGCAGCCCGATTGAATGAAAGAGGAGACGGGGGCTGAGCCTGAACACACCCAGCCTTGAGATCGGCAGGCAGGCAGGCACAAGCCAGGAACAGAGGCCCCCAGGAGCAAACTCCAAACCCAGCCCCTCTTTTTCGCCGGGACTCACATTTGGCCTGGCTTCTCTTTTAGAAAATCCTGTGCTGTCTGTCCTGCTGTCTGTGCTGCTGCTTCCTCTGGGCCTCCTAGTCCTGGCGGCTCCCCAGCGCCTCATCTGTGATCGCCGCGTGGTGGAGAGGTATATTCTGGAGGCCAAGGAGGCAGAGAATGTCACGGTGAGCCCCTCTACCCTGCCCCCACAGCACACTTCATATAGATCCTAGCACTTGGGTCATATAAATCCTAGCACTTGGGTCAGGGTTGGAGTGTGAGCCAGACGTTCCTTATTTGCTCCATAAGAAAAATAAACTGAGCCAGGCGCCAGTGGCTCACATCTATAATCCTAGCTAATCAAGAGGCTGAGGTCTGAGGATCATAGTTTGAAACCAGCCAGGGCAGAAAAGTCAGGGAGATTCTTATCTCCAATTAACCACCCAAAGCTGCAACTAGAGCTGTGACTCAAGTGGTAGAGCACCAGTTTTAAGAGGAAAAAAAAAGCTAAGGGACAGTGCCCAGGCCCTGAGTTCAAGTCCCAGTACCAGCATGAAAAACAAAAAAAAAAGATGCCCCCTCCCCGCCCTGCAAAACATTCCTAGGGTACAGGGAAGGGGTAAAGTTAGAGCATCCTGAAGCCTGGGAGCTAGGCTCACCCCTGAAAGCTCTCACCCAGCGCTGTGCATTCTAGATGGCTTCTGTAGAAGACTGTGGCCCGATTGAGAACATCACTGTCCCTGACACCAAAGTCAACTTCTATATCTGGAAGAGGATGGAAGTGAGTCCATTTTACTCCCTTTCTTGTGTGTGTGTATGATTTCTGATAGGTTGGAAGAGACAACAGTGGGGGGGGGTGTAGAATAGCACAGAGATATATAAAGTGTGTTCACAGGCTGGGAATGTGGTTTAGTAGCTTGCCTAGCATGCATAAAGCCCTGGGTTCAATTCCTCAGTACCACATACTCAGAAAAAGAGGGAAGTGGTGCTGTAGCTCAAGTGGTAGAGTGCTAGCCTTGAGCAAAAGCAGCTCAGGGATAGTGCCCAGGCTCTGAATTCAAGCCCCAGGACTGGCAAAATAAAAAATAAAGTGTGCTCACATCCAGGTGTCAGTGGCTCATGCCTGTCACCCTCGCTACTCAGGAGGCTGGGATTTGAGGATCACAGTTTGAAACCAGCCCCAGGCAGGAAAGTCCATAAAATTCTTATCTCCAATGAACTACCAAAAAGCTGGAAATGAAGGTGTGACTTAAGAGGTAGAACACTGGCCTTGAGTCAAAAAGCTAAGAGGGAGTGCCCAAGCACTAAGTTCAAGCCCCAGGACTGGAACACACAAAAAAGGGCATTCCTTCATTCATTTATTCATTCAGCAGACCTTATTGCATGCCTTCTGTTTGAGCAGATTGGGGCATGGGGCTGTTGCGATGGAGGGGGAAGGAAGGAGGGTGAATCAAACTAGCTGACTCTACCAGTTTGCTTCATCTAGGTTGGACAGCAAGCTGTAGAAGTCTGGCAAGGCCTGGCCTTGCTCTCGGATGCCATCCTGCGTAGCCAGGCTCTGCTGATCAATTCTTCCCAGCCATTGGAGACCCTGAAGCTGCATGTGGACAAGGCTGTTAGTGGCCTACGCAGCCTCACCTCCCTGCTGCGGGCACTGGGAGCCCAGGTGAGTAGAGGTGGATGTACCCTGTCTGTTAAGATGGGAGAGCTGACCAGGTGCTGGTGGCTTACACCTGAAATCCTAGCTATTCAGGAGGCTGCTATCTGAGGATCATGACTCAAGGCTGCTGGGGCAGGAAAGTTCATGAGACTCTTTATCTCTAGTCAATCAGCAAAAAAGCTAGAAATTGAGCTGTGGCCCAAGTGGTAGAGCATTAACATTGAATGAAAAAGCCAAGCAAGAACTCAAGTCTTTGAGTTCAAACCCCAGTACTGGCACACACACACACACACACAAAAGATGGAAGAAAGGATCCTAGATGAGGAATCTCGGGGTTCTCCTTGCCCTCCTTATTAGATCCCTGACTTCCAAGGTACCACTTGAGCCACAACTCTAGCCTTCCCTGATCATTTCCATCCCGGTCCTCCACACATCCGGGTCCTGCGCACATCCGGGTTCTGAACTTCCGGTCCTTTCTTTCCTGGCAGAAGGAAGCCATCTTGCCCCCAGACGGCCCCTCGCCTGCCCCACGCCGGACGTTCACCGTGGATAATTTCTGCAAACTCTTCCGAATCTACTCCAATTTCCTCCGGGGAAAGCTGAAGCTGTACACGGGGGAGGCCTGCAGGCTCGGGGACAGGTGACGCGAGGCCCCCCGCTCGCCAGCCCGCTCACCGCTCACCCCGCCGCCTCTGCCTGTCTCCCCGCCGCCATACCCGAGCCCCAGCCCCTGGCCTCAGGACACTCCAGTGCCAGCGGTCGCACATCGCTCAGAGACCCCGGGAGCTGTCCCCACATGCGCGGCTCTGAGGTCTGAAGCTGGCCCAGGGGCTAGCCTGCGACCCCAGCCGTAGCAAGTCAGAGAGACCAGCTCCAAACTCAGGGGCCGAGCTACGCCAGGGCCACACCGGCACCCTGGGGGGACAGGGACTCCAGGACACGAGTTGGGGGGGGGGCAACCCTACCAAGCAGGGTCAAGACTCCCCTGCAGGATTTAGGGGGGGGAGCAACGATCAATTCTCCAGATCTCATGCGACTCCTGTGACAGCCAGTGCCCCGCCCCCCTCCATGGGGGATGCTGAGCCAAGGAGATATCCTGGCTCTCCCCCGGGGAAGGGGGAGAGGGCCTACGGTTGTGTGTGTGTATATGTGTGTGTGTGAGTGAGTGTGTGTGTATTTTTAAAATCTCACTGGCAAAAGCTGAAACCACTAATATGGCTTCTCTGATTATTTATTTTTTTCCTGGGAGCCCCCACTTCCCCCCTTCTCCCCACCCCCACCCCTGTCCTCATCCTGTTAGTGAGGCGTCAGATCTGGGAAAGCAAAGGTACCAAAGGTGGAGGGGGTTGGGCCCTACGTGCTGCCTCACATGGCCTGTCTCACCTTTTGACCCCAGTGGGCCTGAAACCACAGACTCTGCCCACGCTGGTCAATACGGAGGCTCCATTCAAGGCTGTCTCTCAAGGGACAGCTGCCAGCCAGCCAGAACAAACCCATTGTGAGCAGAGATCTATCTAACCAGGAGGAACCCGGTGCCATGGCTTACACTGTAATCCCAGCTACTCAGAAAGCCGAGATCTGAGAATCCTAGTTAGAAGCCAAGCCCCAGGAAGACAAATCTGAGACTCTTATTTCCAATTAACCAGTAAAAAGTCAGAGGTGGAGCTGTGGCTCAAGTGATAGAGCATCAGCCTTGAGTAGAAAAGCTCAGGAACGACGCTCAGGCCCTAAGTTCAAGCTTGAGGACCAGCACCACCTTCCCCCCCAAAAAAAAAAATCCAGGAGAAAGAGCTGATGGCAGCACCAGCCTTGGCTATTACACCCTAATTGTTTCCCATCATTAATGGCCTGTTTCAATCATGCCATATCAGTGTCCTCTGAATCCAGCACCCTCTGCTCTATCCTCAGACTATGTGGGAATATCCTGTATCTCCTCTAATGCTGGGTGGCTCCCTGGGTTTCTTCTTAGTAATGCTTTACCTAGAAAGGCCCACCAAGAGAGACCTATGCAGCCAGCAAAGATGCCAGAAAAGTGGGGGGGGGGCAGTTGGGAATGTGGCTTAGTGGTAGAGTGCTTGCCTAGCATGCATGAACCCCTGGGTTCAATTCCTCCATTCCACATAAACAGAAGAAGCTAGAAGTGGCGCTGTGGCTCAAGTGGTAGAGTGCTAGCTTTGAACACAGGCTCAGGGACAGAGCCCAGACCCTGAGTTCAAGCCCCCGGACTGTCAGAGAGAGAGGGTGGGGGTGGGGGGGTGGGGGAGGGAGAGATTGGGAGAGGGAGAGGGAGAGAGGAGACAGAAAAGTGTCTATCTATAGCAGCCCATCTTTCTACTCAAAAACAAATTGTAGCCCCGTGCCAGGCTCTTATGCCTGTTATCCTAGCTACCAAGGATGCTAAGATCTGAGGATCTGGGTTCAAAGGCAGCATTGGCAAGATAGTCTGTGAGACCCTTATCTCCAATTAGCCAGTAAAAAAAGTCAGAAGGGAGCTGTGGCTTAAGTGGTAGAGCACCAGGCTCACATGAAAAAGCTTAGAGACAGTGTCCAAGCCCCTGAGTTCAAGCCTCAGGACACACACTCTCTCTCTCTCTCTCTCTCTCTCTCACACACACACACAGAAGCCAGCCTGCACCCTGACACAAAGGTTTTGTATTTTGCAATCTACAGCAGGTTGGGAGAGGCTAGAGGTGTATGCATATTATGTGTACAGTTCAAAAAAACCTTTCTTTGTGGCCAACCTAAGTCCTGGGCTACAGCGCCCTCGTCAGGTGCCATTGGGAACCGTTCCACACATCTATGAACAATAGATGGGTTTTGCTCGTGACTTAGGATTCTTCAGTGGGATGAATTAGCAAAGGAGCTCTCTCTAATAGGTGTGTTCTAGTTTTGCCCCTTTTTTTTCAGTTCTCAGTTTGCTCATTTGAACCATGCCTCCAGCCTGTTTTGTGTTTGTTTGTTGATTAATTGGATATTGAGTCTTTGAGGACTTTTCTGCTGGGCTGGCTTTGAACCTTAATCTTCTGGATCTCAGCCTCTGGAGTAGCTAGGATTTCAAACCTGAGCCACCAGAAGAAGCTAACTCTGCCCAACTCTTAAAAGTACTGAGAGGGGGCTGGGAAGGTGGCTCAGTGGTAGAGCGCTTGCCTGGCATGCAGGAGGCTCTGGGTTTGATTCCTCAGCACCACATAAGCAAAAATTTAAAAAAAAAGCCGGAAGTGGTCTGTGGCTCAAGTGGTAGAGTCCTGGCCTTGAGCTGAAGAGCTGAGGGACAGCGCCCAGGCCCAGAGTTCAGGCCCCACGACCGGACCAAATAAAAAAAAAAAAGTACTGAGAGGAAGCTGGGTGCCAGTGGCTCACGCCTATAATCCTAGCTACTCAGGAGGCTGAGATTTGAGGATCACAGTTCAAAGCCAGCCTGGGCAAGAAAGTCCATGAGACTCATCTCCAATAAACCACTAGAAAACTGAAAGTGGCGCTGTGGCCCAGGCATCAGAGTGCTTAACTTGAGCTGAAGAGCACAGGGATAGCGCCCAGGCCCAGAGTTCCAAGCCCCATGACTGACAAAAAAAAAAGTACTGAGAGGAGAGATGAGGAACAGAGGCTAAGCTCCATAACACCAGGGTCTATCTTCGGGACTCAACAGGAGAGTGGGAGTAGAGAGACCAATTGGTTACAGTCAGTAAGGCATTAGACTGGAGCATCCTTCATTCCCAACTCTTGTCTTGGCTCCCACTTCCCCCTGGAGAGGCAGAGGCCTGCTGCCCTCCCACCCATTGCAGCTTCACACATCCATCTCTACCTGGGTCTTCTCTAGCCCAAATCTGTTCTGGATCTTGGACATCAGGATGGCCTCATGTTCCTAGGCACCATACCATGTACTCATCTCCCTGCAGTGGACCATCACTGCTGGATTTGAGTTAGTTCAATGGAACCTTGTAGACATGGCCATCTAACTCAACACAATGATAAGAATTCAAGAAAGCAAGGCTGCCAGGTGACAGTGGCTTATACTTGAATCTTACTCAGGAGGCTGAGATCTGATGATCACAAGTTGAAGCTATCCCTGGGAAGGAAAGTCCATGAGATTATCACCAAATAAATACCTAAAAGCTGGAATTAGAGCTGTGGCTCACATGGTAGAGTGCTACCCAGATCCTGACTGGCACATACCAAAAAGGGGAGGATGAGGAAGTGGAGGAAGAGAAGGAGGAAAACAAGGCTAATTCTACTGAAATTCCTTCATAGATCATCAGCAACAGAAAAAAAAAAACACAACAACCCAGAATTACACATTCCTAATTTAGGGGAGTTGTTCCTAAATGTCTCTACATTCCCTTCCTTAATAATCAAGTTTGTTTTTTTTTTTGGGTCCAGTCGTGGGGCCTGAACTCTGGGCCTGGGTGCTGTCCCTCAGCTCTTCAGCTCAAGGCTAGCACTCTACCACTTGAGCCACAGC